GGGCGCGGGCTCTTGGGCTTGTTTATTGGAGTCTCGCTTTACTTCGGGCTTTGGGAGTTGGGCGGGGGTGACGTCGGAGGTTTTCCTTAGGCCTGGTCTACACTAGGCTTTTATGTCGAATTTAGCGCCGTTACATCGAATTAACCCTGCACCCGTCCACACCACAAAGCTATTTAGTTCGACATAGAGCTCTCTTAAATTCGACTTCTGTACTCCTCCCCAACGAGAGGAGTAGCGCTAAATTCGAAATGGCCATATCGAATTAGGGTAGGTGTGGATGGAAATCGACGCTAATAGCTCCAGGAGCTATCCCACAGTGCACCATTCTGTTGACGCTCTGGACAGCAGTCCGAGCTCGGATGCTCTGACCAGCCACACAGGAAAAGCCCCGGGAAAATTTGAATTCCTTTTCCTGTCTGGGCAGTTTGAATCTCAGTTCCTGTTTGGACATCGTGGCGAGCTCAGCAGCAGTGGCAACGATGCAGAGCTCTCCAGCAGAGATGGCCGTGCAATCTAATAGAAAGAGGGCCCCAGCATGGACTGATCGGGAAGTCTTGGATCTCATCGCTGTGTGGGGCGATGAGTCCGTGCTTTCAGAGCTGCGCTCCAAAAGAAGGAATGCTAAGATCTACGAGAAGATCTCTAAAGCCATGGCAGAGAGAGGATACAGCCGGGATGCAACGCAGTGCCGCGTGAAAATCAAGGAGCTGAGACAAGGCTACCAAAAAACCAAAGAGGCAAACGGACGCTCCGGATCCCAGCCCCACACATCCCGTTTCTACCAGGCACTGCATTCCATCCTAGGTGCGGCCGCCACCACTACCCCACCAGTGACCGTGGACTCTGAGGATGGGATATTGTCCGCGGCCGGTTCCTCGTCGGACATGTTAGCGGACGGGGAAGATGAAGAAGGAGATGAGGAGGACGAGGCAGTCGACAGCGCTGGCACTGCTGATTTCCCCGACAGCCAGGAGCTCTTCATCACCCTTACCGAGATCCCCTACCAACCGTCCCCATCCCTTACCCCGGACACAGAATCAGGGGAAGGATCAAGCAGTAAGTGCTTTAAACATCTAAACATTTATTTTTAACAGAACTGAATTATTTACAATATTAACAATGGCTTATTTCCTAAAGTGCTTTAAACATGTAAACATTTATCTGCAACAAAACTGGAATATTTACAATATCAAGAAAGGGTTTCTCATGATTTCTCTGCCTTGGGCTCTTCACTATGTAGTCCCAACTATTTAAAAAATTTTTTACAATGTCCGGTTATTCATGATTATGCAGCCCAAGACGCTCCACTCTTTAGTCCCAGTGCACCTACGCGAAAATCCGGTCAATATGGCCGGGGATAGACGCGAAATCCTCATAGGAGAACTCCTCGTAGGTCTCATGGAGGTACAGTTCCAGCCTGTTCATCAGGTTCCTGGGTAGGGCGATCTTATTGGGCCCTCCGTGGTAGCACACGTTTCCCCGCCACGACACAATCAAGTATTCAGGGATCATCGCACGGCAGAGCATAGCGGGATACGGCCCTGGTTTTTGCATGCTTTCCCTCAGCATGCGTTTCTTCTCGCTGTCCGAGATCCTCATGAGGGTGATGTCGCTCATGATGCCCTGCTTTGAATTAGGGAGGGGAATGTTAGTATTGGGACTGCTTTACAGCCACGCGATGGAGGGAGAGGGGCAGCCTACAGGGATCTTTCCCTGGGACAGCCGCGAGGGGGTGGGACAGGGGCAGAGTTTATGCTTCCCTGATTGCTGGCATTGAGACTGGCATTGCTTTCAATGTGACAGGAGGCCAGTGCTCCTATTAAAGTTTTAAGCAGCCACAAGTCTAGGGCTTACCATGATTGCCTGCTACAGAAGTTCAGGTGTCCTGCCACGCTTCTCAGATCACTGCAAGACCACTGCAAAGACCACTGCAAGACCCCAGGCACTGAAGGCGAGGGCCGAAAATTCGACCTTGTCCTGAGTGCGCATGTGAGAGGTGGAGTGCATGGTCTTGTTCACAGAGAAAGACTAGGTTCTTTGTACACAACTTCATTTATCTGTCTCAGGAATTCACTCCCTTTTTCCCATTCCCACAGACACATCTGCGACTGTCTCCCAACCCAGCCTGTCAGCACACTCCCAGAGGCTAGCGCAGATTAGGCGGAGGAAGAAGAAGACGCGTGAAGACATGTTCTCAGAACTAATGGGCTGCTCCCGAGCCCAGGCAGCCCAGCAGACACAGTGGAGGGAGAACTTGTCACAAATGCACCGAGCAGTCATGGAACGGGAGGAGAGGTGGCGTCAGGAGGACCAGCAGGCTACTGAAAAGCTGCTTGGACTAATGAGGGAGCAAACGGACACGCTCCGGCGCCTTGTGGATGTTCTGCAAGACCGGAGGCAGGAGGACAGAGCCCCGCTGCAGTCTATCTCTAACCGCCCTCCCCCGCCACCAAGTCCCACACCCCCCTCACCCAAAGTACAAAGAAGGAGGGGCGGCAAGGGCCGTTAAAACTTTCAGTCAACCCCTGCAGACTGCTCTAGCACTAGAAGGCTCTCATTCCCCAAAATTTGAAAAGTCCTTTCCTACCCACCTCACAGAAGCCCCCGTGCAAGTTTCACCCCCCACGTTTCATGTGTGATTCATAATAAAATATTCGTTTCTGTTAATTACTGTTTCCATGACTTTCTTTTGGAGGAGAGTCTGTTTGAAGGGGGGGAAGGGGCTTGGTAATTGGACAGGACAGTCACCTTTAGCAGGGTACAGAGGCGGGGTCAGATCCAGCATCAGGACACATACACAGTGCAGTCACTAGTGACCCTGGTCAGTCTGGGAGATGGTTTTCATGTCCTGGGGGGGAGGAGGGGGTTGCTCTGTGACTTTGTGGCGGGGGAGGGCAGTTACAGATCTTATGCAGCGGTCCTTATCCTGGATCACAGAGCCACGCAGCAGGGGATCTGTAACCCTCCTCCTCCTGCCAGAAAGTCACCTAGCCGACACATACACGCAGTCCCGCCCAGGAGTGCTGGCAGGCTCCGTTGAAACAACCAGTCCACCACTGCGGAGCCTGTCATTCCTGGAGTTTAGAAGCATCATTTGCATCAGAACACTAAACCCGCCCCCCGCCACAGTCTGCGTCCCCGGTTTAAAACATTCCCGCGAAAACAGTAATAAAGACAACGGTGTTCATTGACAAAATAGAACTGATTTTATTTTTTGGGAAGGGGGTGAAGGGGGTATGTAACTGGAGGTTCAGCTTCTGTGTCCACAAACTTAACAGTCACTGGTTACCCTGCTCAGTCTGGAACCTTGCTTTCAAAGCCTCCCGGATGCACAGCGCGTCCCGCTGGGATCTTCTAATCGCCCAGCTGTCTGGCTGGGCGTAATCAGCAGCCAGGCTATTTGCCTCAACCTCCCACCCCGCCATAAAGGTCTCCCCCTTGCTCTCACAGAGATTGTGGAGCACACAGCAAGCTGCTATAACAATGGGGATATTGGTTTCGCTGAGATCACAGCGAGTCAGTAAGCTTCTCCATCTCCCTTTGAGATGGCCAAAAGCACACTCCACCACCATTCTGCACTTGATCAGACGGTAGTTGAACAGTTCTTTTTCTGTGTCCAGGGCGCCAGTATAGGGCTTCATGAGCCAGGGCATTAGCGGGTAGGCTGGGTCCCCGAGGATCACTGTAGGCATCTCCACATCCCCAAGAGTTATTTTGTGGTCCGGGAAGTAAATACCTTCCTGCAGCTGTCTAAACAGACCAGAGTTCCTGAACACGCGAGCGTCATGAACCTTGCCCGGCCATCCGACGTTGATGTTGGTAAAACGTCCCCTATGGTCCACCAGTGCTTGCAGCACCATTGAAAAGTAGCCCTTTCTGTTAATGTACTGGCTGGCCTGGTGGTCCGGTCCCAGGATAGGGATGTGAGTCCCATCTATAGCCCCACCACAGTTTGGGAATCCCATCGCGGCGAAGCCATCTATGATGACCTGCGCGTTTCCCAGGGTCACTACCTTTGAGAGCAGTACCTTAACGATTGCGTTGGCTACTTGCATCACAACAACCCCCACGGTAGATTTGCCCACACCAAAGTGGTTCGCGACTGACCGGTAGCTGTCTGGCGTTGCAAGCTTCCAGAGAGCTATGGCCACTCGCTTCTGGACAGTCAGGGCTGCTCGCATCCGGGTGTCATTGTGCTTCAGGGCAGGGGACAGCAACTCACAAAGTTCGAGGAAAGTCCCCTTCCGCATGCGAAAGTTTCGCAGCCACTGGGATTCGTCCCAGACCTGCAGCACTATGCGGTCCCACCAGTCCGTGCTTGTTTCCCTGGCCCAGAATCGCCGTTCCACAATATCCACATGACCCATTGCCACCGTGATGTCCTGGGCGCTGGGTCTCGTGGTTTCTGACAGCTCTGTGCTACTCTCCGACTTCAGGCCCTCACGGCGGTGCCGTAGCCTCCTCGCCCGATTTCTCTGCATCTGCCTCAGGGAAAGGTGTATGATAAGCTGCGAGGTGTTGAGAACGGCCACAACTGCAGCGATGGTCACAGCGTGATCCATGATCGCAGTGCTGTGGCGTCCACGCTGTCACTGACCAGAAAAGTGCGCGAACTGATTTCCCGCCGGCGCTTTCAGGGAGGGAGGGACGGCGGTAGTGACGGACGGATGACGACACTGACCCAAAAGCACCCTCGACACATTTTTTTACCCAGAAGGCATTGGCGGCTCGACCCATAATTCCAATGGGCAGCGGGGACTGCGGGAACTGTGGGATAGCTGCCCACAGTGCACCGCTTCCAATGTCGACGCTTGCCCCGTTAGTGTGGACTCACAAAGTCGAATTACTGTCCTTAGTGTGGACACACACGTTCGACTTTGCAATATCGATTCCACATATTCGATTTAAGTAAAATCGAACTACTCTCGTAGTGTAGACATACCCTTATTATGCGCCTTGCAGGGTCCGGGCGGCTGAGGAGGCGGGGTCTGGACGCCAGGGCGATGCCGCTGTGCCCGGGAAGCTCAGTAGCAGACAGCCCTCCAGCCTCCTCGGAACCCGCATGGCGCAGATAAAAGCCCCGCGCGGTGGGGGGAGGCGCGTGGCATGTCCCGGTGTCTGCGGCTCTGAGCTTCCCGCAGTTACAAACGGCTGTGGGACGGTGTGGGGAGGGCTAGCGGTGCAGTCCCAGCCCAGGGGAGGTGGTGGAACCCGGCTGGCCAGGCCGAGCCAAAGCCCCCCGCTCCTCCCCAGAGTGGGATGCTGCAGCAGGGAAATAGTGCGTGGAAGCCCTTCCTTGCAGGGGGGTGGGGGCCAGATGTTGCATGCAAGTCCCACTCCCCTACCCTGAGTTCCTTGTGGGGGTCGGGGGCCAGATGCTGCATGCGGGTCCCACTCCCCTACCTTTTTATTTCTAGTTCTACTCTTGCTGCACACAGCATTGTTACACATTACAATTAAAATAATACACTTGTGTTTATTTACATTATTACTAAAAAAATATGGAATGTTTATAAACACCCCCACTCCCCTGTCTCTGAAATGGGTTGGGCTTGTTTTAAAAGGCAGTGCCATTTTTGGGGGGAGGGGGAGTGAGACTTGGCAACGCTCCCCTTCCCTTCTCTTCTCCCGCTCCACTCCCGTCAGGATCCAAGCCCCGGCTGCAGCCCTATGCAACACTGGGGGGGACGACACCTCCTTTGCCTCCCTGGCCCCTCTGCTCCCCCAGCTGCCTTGCTGTGCCCCCTCAATCCCTTGCTTTGCTCCTCTTTCTCCCTCATTCCTTGCCTCCCCTCACTGGGTCCCTCTGCTCCCTGGCACCATTTGGGGGGCACTTGCCCTCCCCATTTTCCTTCCACATTGTAATTTGACAAACCGTACACCTATCTAAAATGTGAGGTTTGTGCCATCATGTTTATTTTGCCTCTTTTCCCAGCCTGTTCCTACAAATCCTGCAATCCACAACCACCTCCTTCACTTCAGCAGGAAGTTTCTCAGCTCACGGTGCCAGTTCTTACGTCGAAACAGTCCCGTGTCTACACTGGAGGGTGGAAGAATTCCCCTTTTCTGACGTGGTTTTCCCTTCTCTCTGGTAAGTATTTTTTAAAACTGCGTGTGTCATTATTTGGCCTCTTATTTTACTTCAATTACAAAAATCGTCCATTTAAGTTGCTTACAGCATAAATTCTGTCACTTCAGTATGCGCTCAAGCTCATGGACAGGCTTCAGGTAGAGTCTGCTTCATTTTAAAATATAGTACCTTGTTTATTTGAACTACATCAAAGCGTAAAAGCAACTTCTCTGAACTCCTAATAATCTTATGTTCTAATGTAGCTGAAGTTCTTACAAAGTTAATGCTTGTTGCCCTGACAGCCTGAAAAGACACACATAATAATAGACCAGGGATTTTAAAAAAGTATTATTATAGTTTTTAACTAGTTTAGGGGATTGTATTGTTGTTGTTTTTATTACTGCCTGTCGAAATGTGTAATGCACATATATTCTCTAACTTTATTCTTTCCAAGTTCATTAAGGATTACAGTGCTATTATTTTAGTTTTTTGACTGGTCTGTGCATTTCATAATTTTTTCTCTCACGTTTACATTTAATTCTTTGAGTAGTAAGTTCTAAAATGCCTGACCTGTCCTGGCTGGAGTAATTATTATAACTTATTACTATATTGTGCTTTGTCATTCATTGATTGTACCACTTTAAATAAATAATAGTGTCCTTCTAGAATGTAAATTTAGCTTGTACTCACCTTAGCAGTGCCAGTTTCATGGGGGATGATGGTGGGGGTGAAGGAACTATGGAATATGGATGTGTCATTAACATTAGCTAAACATATAACTTTCGACACTGTGCAGATGAAGGTCAATTATTTTCAAATTGTATTTTTAATTATATGATTTAATTATATATTCGTATGAAAATAAATGCAGTTCCAAATCTGATACTAGTAGTAATGGAGTCAGATGTTAGTGAGTTACGTACATGATTGTGATCGATAAGCATAATTTCCAAAATAATTAGAAAAATAAATTCCCATTCTTAATACAAGAAAAAAGTAATCATGTATATTAAAATTAAATACGTTTTTAGTGGAGTGAAAAACAATCGCCTAAATAGAGAAATGGCAGTAACACAAAGTGTTAGAGAGAGAGAGAGAGAGAGAGAGAGTTATTGCTTCAGTGTGTGATAGACTGATCCCTGAAGCATACCTCCATGCAGAGTTCCTTGTTGAATTCTGCTCATATACACAAATGTCTCCTTCTCTTCTCTTTCTGGATTAACTAGTGTGTTGAGCAGATGATTGTCATGCTTTATATAGCTTTTCATTTCACTGACCATTTTTTCCTTTGGTATCTTCAGTTTCATTTTGCAGAATGATTTGTCTTCACCAATAACACACTCTCTAACATCTGATTCACTTGCACTACTATAAACCAAATCAGAGTGGAAGTAGCAATAATTTCCAAACCTTCCATATAATTGGGGGGGAGGGGGAGGAGAAAAAAGTAAAACAAAAAACCAACCTGTTTTTATTTTTGCTTCATGTTTTTTGCTTCATTAATTGCAAAAGTATTCACTGCCTCATTGAAAGGCATTGCAGGCATTGCCTTTGAAAAATATTTAATATAATACAAATAAAGTAATAAAATAACTGACACTATTCTTATTATATTTTGTTTTATGCATAAAAGTTGATTTTTTTCCAGAGTACAATGATACCTGTACCAGCACAGCAGCAGAATATTGTATAATTTTTAAAAAGAAAGGCCCCTGACGACGAAAATTGTGACAATAAAGAACCATCCTTGAAAATGAACTGTGTAAATGCTTCCTCAAGTAACATTGTCTTGCAGTCAACACAGAAAAACAGACTGGATAATGATCCTTGTGCCAGTACAGTAACTCCTCGCTTAACGTTGTAGTTATGTTCCTGAAAAATGCGACTTTAAGCGAAACGATGTTAAGCGAATCCAATTTCCCCATAAGAATTAATGTAAATGGGGGGTGGGTTAGGTTCCAGGGAAATTTTTTTCACCAGACAAAAAACTATATATTATATAGATATACACACAGTATACGTTTTAAACAAACAATTTAATACTATTCACAGCTATGATGATTGTGAAGCTTGGTTGAGGTGGTGAAGTTAGAGGGTAGAAGAGGGAGGGATATTTCTAGGGAATGCCTTGCTGCGAAATGATGAACTAGCACTCGGCTGAGCCCTCAAGGGTTAACACATTGTTGTTACTGTAGCCTCTCATCAAGGCAGCATGAACAGGAGGGAGGGGAGACAGCATAGCAGACAGAGACAGACACACACCTTGTGTGTGGGGGAGAAAGATGCACACTGCTACTTTAAGTAAGCTGACCCACTCTTAAGTGCATTGTCTTTTTAAGTGGATCAGGAAGTTGAGACAGCAGCTGCTGCCCCAAGCTCTCTCTGTCTCTCTCCGTCCGTGTCCCCTCCCTGCTCTATATGGAGAAGGGGTAAGCGGGGTGCAGGAGCAGGGGGGAGGGGGACACCCTGACATTAGCTCCCTCCCTTCCCCCCGCCTTCCCCCCACAGCAAGCAGGAGTCTCTGGGAGCAGCTCCAAGGCAGAGGGCAGGAGCAGCACATGGCAGTGGGGGAAGGGACAGCTGAACTGCCGATTTATAGCCTGCTGGGCAGCTGCAGCACAGGGAACTTAGGGGAGCGGGGAGCTGATAAGGGGGCTGCCGGTCCACCCTGGTTACAAGCCTCCACCAGCTAGCTGCAACAAGCTGCTCTTCCTGCAAGCAGCTGCCAAACGATGTTAGAAGGGAGCATTGCACAACTTTGAACGAGCATGTTCTCTAATTGATCAGCAATGTAACAACGAAACAACGTTAACCGGGACGACTTTAAGTGAGGAGTTACTCTATATCAGTGGCCACCAATTACACATCTAAGGATGTCCTATGTGCTCTGACATCACCAGTGGGGGCAGAATGTTTTGTTAAACAGAGTTTACCTTAGGGTGACCAGATGTCCCGATTTTTATAGAGACAGTCCTGATTTTTGGGTCTTTTTCTTATATAGGCTCCTATTACTCCCCACCCCCTGTCCCGATTTTTCACATTTGCTGTCTGGTCACTCTAGTTTACCTGTTCATGACAGGAAAAACAACCTTTCTACGGCCATAGATATCTTGCTGCACAAAGAGGAACAACCAGTACAGCCTAAGATGGATACCCTTCTACAAATGGTTGACGTTTCAACTGTGGTTGGTTTTCTTTGTACCCCTCCATTGTAGAGGAGTCTGTTTTTTGCTTTCCATGCCGTCACTTTGCTTCTCAAACCACAATTGGACCAGGAGAACAATTCAACAACAGAAGATTCATTGAGTGTGGCTTTAAGAAACGGAAAGATTTTCATAGTTTGTTAAAACAACATTCACTCAGTTCCAGGCATCAAGCAGCTTTCATTTCGTGGTAAAACTACTTGACAATTAGGATCAGCAGTTTGAAAAGTGTCGCAGATCAATTTGTTTCCAGTCATCAGGCTGTCATAGCTGAAAATTGCCAGCATATTGAAACACTCTTACAGGTCTCCATGCTCTGTGCAAAACAGGGTATTGCTTTTTGGGGGCATGATGAAACACACAACTCTAGCAATAAAGAAAATTTCATTGAAATGCTTGAGCTGGTTGCTTCTGGTCAGCCCCAGCCTTTTGAATCAACTAAGAAGCACGTATGGACACGATACCTCTCACCAGTACCAGAACGACTTGATACATTCTGCTGCAGCAGTCCTGAGAGAAAGCGCTGCTGAAGAGGTCAGACAAGCCAAGTATTTTTCTGTCCGTGTTGATGAAACTAAAGATGCATCAAGAAAAGAACAGCTGTGTCTCCTTTTACGCTGCCATTGAAAAGGAATCATTCAGGAAAGATCTGTGGGTTGCTTCCACATGGAAAATCTAAATGCTGAATTTGTTTCAAAAAGGATTATTGAAGAGCTACAGCATTTGAAGCTTGATATTAATTACATCGTTGCCCAGTGCTTTGATACAGCTTCTCTGCTGAGTGGGCATTTAACAGATGTACAAGCTCGCACTCAGGAAAGGATTACACATGCCATTTATGTGCACTGCCATGCTCACAGGCTTAATCTTGTCATTGCAGGCACATGTTCCAGCATCACCCAATGTCAGGAAGTCTTTGCGTTTGCTCAGGACCTGTACATCTTTAGCAGTAGTTGCAGGCACCATGAACTGTTTGTTAAGGCACAGCAAGAGCTAGGCCAGAAGGTGCTTGAGCTAGGTAGATTATGTGAAACTCGCTCGTGCTGGTTTGACTCCCTCCAAAAACTGCATGCAAGATGGAAACACTTGGGAGCCATTTCAGTTCAGAGAGCTGATGGCCCATCGGCTAGCACTGGCGAGGGTTTGATGGCAAGGCTAAAGTGCTATTCCTTTCTGTTGAGGCTCTTGGTTTCGGGAAGAATATTCAAGATTTTTAATAATATTTCAGAATTACAAAATGAAAACCTGAATTTATCTAATGCCATGGAATTAGTAGCAATCAATGTTGCTGCTCTTCAAGAAATGAGAACATCTGAAAGCAAATGGAAGGAGCTATGTGATGAAGCTGAAATCATTGCCAAGGAATTTGAAATTGCTATTCCGGGTCAGGCAGTCGCAACTGCTGAGCACAGCAATACAAAAACGGCAATAAGACCTAAAAAAATAACCTCCAAGCTGGCCTTGTTTTTTGTTTTTAGTACACTGGGTCAGTCATCTCCACATGATGTTCCCAAGAGCACGCATGAATCTATAAAATCTGATTTTTACTATCCTGTTTTGGACAGTATTCTGGCAGAGCTCAATAGACGATGCACCTTCAACTCCAGTTTGCTTTCTGTACTAACTGCGTGTGACCCAAAGAGTGAAAATTTTCTTGCATATGAGAAACTGAAAATAATTGCAGATCACTATGGATCAACAGGCACCGATTTTGACAGTCTGGATGCAGAAGTCGAAGTTGCTGAGAAGCACATTGCACCAAAAAATGGACTTCAATTTCTGAATTCTGGATGTTCTCATGGACTTAGCAAGGGCTTTCCAGTCTTTGCTGTCTATTGTAGATATTGTGTTGAGCCTTCTAGTGTCTACAGCATCAAATGGAGAGGTATTTCTCTGTGCTCAGAGAGTAAAGAACTACTTAGAATCCACAGTGGGAGACAAGCGCTTAGGTGACGTGGTAATTTTAGCCTGTGAACGTGAAGCTTCAGAACACCCGGATATCAACAAGGCCATTGACCATTTTGCCAAGATGAGAAGACGGCATTATCTATTGTGTTAGCTCCTATCTGGAGTGTTTTGTTTTCAATAATTTATTTACCTGTAAAGAAATTAACTGTCTCATTCATCTCTTCACAAATTGGAATATAAGACATTTAAAAACCAACAATTGCAGGTGTAAGCAGATTTTATTTTTATTCATTTATCTCTACTAAAGAGAGTGTACAAAGTATCAAACTTGTTTCTGATATCTGTGTTAAGGCTCCAAAACTGATACCTCAGAGTGTGGGATTGGGAATATCTTGCTGTATTATGTCCCTATTGCTCTAAATTTACATATATATTTAAAATATGGTTATAACTGATTTTTGTTAATTCCCCCCCCCCCCCTTCTTTATATAGGAATTAGATACAGTGCTCCTGTCATTTAATTTCTAAGTTATCTGCAGGGAAAAAAAGCAACCCTAGAGTTTTCAGGTGCCTAAGTAGCCCCTGGAATCATGATTAAAGTTGCCCCCCACACACAAACCTCTCACTGGGCCCCTCTGTCCCCAGCCAGCAGAGTGGACCTTGTGGCACTGATCTTGACACCGTGGGGTCACTGTGTGTTGCCCGGCGTTCCTGGGGCTATAGAGCGACCCATCACTGACACGTGGCCGCATCAGAGACACTCTCAGGGAAGCTGGGAGTTTGGGTGCTGTGATGGGGTGCAGCCTGGACTATGGGACTGCTGAGCCCTCCAAAACCCACCAGCTTGGGGTATCCCTAACATTGTGATGCTGATGTCAAGCTACAAACCTGATAGGCACTGCACTTAACCAGACATCCACAGGCAAGGACCCACCCAACTGAGTTACATGAATGATTTCCCAGCCACTCATGAACCATCAATAGAAAGGCTCCAGCCAGTTCCCTCCAGCTCCAGCCCTACACCCCAGAATTGTTCCGTCTTGCACTGGTCAGAAGCCTGAGCAGTGTAAATTCATTTCTTAGTTTGCCACTTCTTCATAGGAAAGTGGACATGCACCAGCCTTTGTAACCTGAGCAGATTTCCCAAGCACTTTAGACAAACTCACTGGTAAGGATAAAACATTAAAATAAGTTTAACTACAGAAAGATCGATTTATAAGTGATTATACTGGTAGGCATAAAGGTCAGACAGAGTTACCTTAAGAAAGGGGGAAGGGAAAGGATGATGTCATTGTCTCTCTCTTAAAAGATCTTTGTTGTGATGTGAGTTAGTCTGTCCCCACGGTGTACATACCTTCTCAGAGAAGTGTCTGGGATAATGGAATGGCGTTGGTGAGCCATTAATGCTGTCTGGCTATTGGTGGCCACTCCTTTGTTGTAACTGAAAGATTGGTTGTGGGTGTTCCCAACCTCACAACATATTTCAGTAACACATCTAGCAATACTTCACATACAATGAGAGCACATACACTCCAGTAGCACATTAATGTTCAACAGATCAAGACTGTTAAAATCAAGGCTCTCAAAGTCCCGGCCCGAGAACCTCCCCACTGCAGCCTGCGGAGGAGAGACGCATGCAGACACGCGGCCAGTCCCCACAGCTCCCAATGGCTGGGGGAGAGGGACAGAGATACCATCACTACTCGCTGGGCAGAGTCAGCTATGGAGGCAGCATCATTAGTTGCCGGGCAGAGTCAGCCATGGAGGCAGCATCA